ACCCGTCAGTACGACAATCTTCCCCCTAAGGCCACCGGTTGACGATAGTGCAGATGTCGCATCCCGGCCCCTGCAGATGGACGATCGTCGCGCTCAACGGTCCAATGCGTTGATTTCCTTCGCCCTTGCCCGGTCGAACTCGCTGCCTCCCGTGCCTCCGGCGCCTACTACGATCGCCGAGCCAAACGATTCAAAGCCAACCTCTCCAGGTATGTTTGCAGATGACCAAGATTTTCTGAACTCACCTGTCACGCACGTAGAAAACGACCGCGACTTGTTCGGAAAAGATGGGTGAGTGTCCATCTAGGGATGATCGACCGAGTGCGTGCTCAAAGTACATCCTTCATCAAGTGCAGTAGCTCAAGAAGCGGGGTACGCCACAGAGGACGCCGAAGCCATGGGCCCCGCGTGGCAGGCTGCTGAAACTCTATCGAATGCCATCGAGACTCTTGAAGGAGCAGCAGGGCCTGCCAACGATACACTTGACAGCTGGACACCCCTGCTTCAGAAATTGCAGATTTTTGTGGAAATATCGAACGGCCTCTCCCAGGTAAGTCATACCTTGCACATCATTTTCAACTGTACTAACTCCGGACGAATAGATCCATCCATACGCGAACCTCGCGTTCAGCGTCATAGCCGCCGTCCCGAAGGCAAATACTTCCTGTTGGGAATATCTGCCGCGTTGTCTCACTCCGCAATAGACTATCATAAAACAAATCCAGACGGACGCGGCGATGCGTGGTCTCGTGGAGACGATGAACGAGTCCCTGGAGTTGATGCAGGAAGCCGAGCCTCTCCGGCAAAGTGGTCATCGCCAGAAAGCCGCGCAGTCGATCGCGAGACAGATCAGAGAATGCGCGCACTTCATCTCCAAGTACGCTCACACGGACGGATTTGGTGAGTCAATAACCCGCCGCAGGACCGAATCGTGCTGATCGCTCGCCACAATTTGCTAGCGAAGCGATTCTTCAAAGGACTTGGCCGAAATATTGCGGACGACATCGAGAGCTACCAAAACCGTCTGAAACAACTCGTAGAATATTTCAACGGTCATACGACGGTGGACACGAACATTGTCGTTCTGAGAGTTCTGGAGAGCGTAGGACGTTTGGGTCAGCCACTTTCTCGAACTTGTTTGCATGCGTCGGCTGACGTGGCGCAGACCAGGAATTGATCTTGAGAGATCTCCCCGTTGCTTCAGGCTCGGGCTTTCAACCCGAAAAGGGATGTCTACCCGGGACCCGTCTGCCGCTTATCGATCTCATCATGGCTTGGATTTACTCCCCTGACGAAGCGAACCCGCAACCTCTCTTCTGGTTGTACGGTCCCGCAGGCACTGGAAAATCCGCCATTGCTCATGCCGTCGCACAGCTATGTAAGGAGGACGGGCGGCTCGGGCGCATGTTCTGTTTCAGTGCCTCCGGATGCAAGCTGGAACAGCTGTTCCCAACGCTTGCCATCGGGTTGGCCGATCTCGATTCAGAATGGAGGAAGGCGCTATGCGAGGCGGTCAAAAACGACAGTGACCTCCGTTCCACGCATTCACTACAGCTCCAGTTCGAAAACATCCTTCTAGGTCCTGCAAAAGCCATAGCAGACCGCGTTGTAGGGCCCATCGTGATCATCCTCGACGCTTTGGATGAGAGCGGCGGCGAACGTTCGGAATTGCTGAAATATATTTCTCGGCTAGCGGAGCTCCCCCGAAACTTCCGAATTCTAGTTACCTCGCGACCCGAGCAGGACATACGAGAGAGTCTAGCAGTACTGGACTGCGTAGTTCGTCAGGATATCGCCGAGGATCAGTACGATACCGCCGATGATGATATCTCTCTGCTCGTTGACAAAAGGCTTTCCGAGTGGTCTCAGATAGGAAAGGACTCGCGGTGGCAGCGAGATACGATGGTGCCGCAAATTGTCCAGGCCGCCGAGAAGTCTTTTCAGTGGGCGTTCACAGCGTGCGGATTCATCCGAGGGGAAGACAAGTACAAGGGGTACGACTGGCACGAACGTTTCTTGGCCGTCCTGTCTTCTGGATCCTCGTCGCAGGATCAGGAATCCGGTGTTCGTTACAGCCATCTGGATATTCTCTACAAATTAGTCCTAGGTCGGCTGTTCGGGGATGGACCATTGGATCGTTTCAAACGCGTGTTGGGACGTGTCCTCTCAGCCAAGGTACCGTTACCCCTGGACGCATTGGAGGAGCTACAAGAGGAGAAAGATCCACGAGGCTGTACCACCAACATCTTGAATATCATGGGATCTTTGTTATATGGCGTTTCCAACCCAGGCGATCCGATTCGTCCACTACACAGCTCCTTTCGTGATTTTTTGACTGATAAAGCTCGAAGCGGCCCTTACTACGTGGATCTCAGCAGCGCGGATGACCTGCTAGCCCGCTCGACGCTACGAATCATGCGGACATCGCTTCGCTTTAACATATGCCATCTTGAGTCTTCATACGACCTCAACGACGAGTACGATGATCTTGATCAGCGTATCCTGAACGACATGACGTCTGGTCTCATCTACGCAGTCCGTTATTGGGCGCAACATATCGTCCCTGGACCCGAGGCTGCTCTATCTCCCAAATTGCTCACCCAGATCGAAGGATTTCTTAAGACTCGGGCGTTATTCTGGTTAGAGTCGCTGAGCCTGTTGAACTCATTACAGTCCGGTTCGTCCGCGCTGCTGACGTTGAAGAGAGCCTTGACGGTGAGCATTCCTATACCGAGCGACATTCGCGTGTTAACGAGGCGGTATTTTTTAGGGAAACGATGAGGCGAGCGATGTTCTTCGCTTGGTCGAGGATCTCGATAGATTCCTCAGCTTATACTGGGACGTGATCTCAATCTCGGCACCCCACATCTATCTCTCTGCTCTTCCCTTCACTCCGGAGACTTCGCTCGTATCTCAAAATTACATGGAGCCCTTCCCCAAGAGCGCGAGGGTCTCGCAAGGTCGACTGGCTCATTGGCCGGCGTTACGATGCACGATGCAAGGTCACCAGGACTTCGTCAACTCTGTCCAGTTTTCACATGATGGGAAGTGGATAGTTTCGGGCTCTAACGACTGTACTGTTCGCATGTGGGACGCTGAGTCAGGGCAGGCTGTCGGGAAGCCATTCGAGGGCCATACAGGTCCCGTTCGTTCGGTAGCATTCTCTTCGGATGGGAGGCACATCATCCCAGTCTCCGCCGACAAGACCATCCGAATGTGGGATACAGCAGATGGCAAGGCGATTGGAGGACCGTTCCACGGCCATACCGGCGAAGTCACTTCTGTCGCATTCTCGCCTCGGGCTGATGATCCACGCGCAGTCTCAGGTTCCGCCGATAAGACTATTCGCTTATGGGATACGAGCACGGGGGAAATGCTCGGAGAACCCATGGAAGGCCACTCAGACGTTGTAATGTCTGTAGGATTTTCACCAGATGGAACGCGCCTGGTCTCTGGCTCTCGGGATCGTACAATACGCATATGGGATGCGCAATCACAAAAAGTCGTGGCAGGACCTCTCTCGGGTCACGGTAATACCGTCGCCTGTGTCGCCTTTTCACCTGACAGCAAGCACGTTGTGTCGGGATCCTCGGATGGCACAATTCGAGTCTGGGATGCAGAATCCGGGCAGACCATAGTGGGCCCGCTCGTGGGTCACACCGGTGCTGTGACATCTGCAAGTTTCTCCCCCGACGGAAAGTACATCGTTTCCGGATCATCCGACGACACGATTCGACTGTGGGACGCGAAGAACGGAGCCGCACTCGGAGAGCCGGTTCATTGCCAGAGTGTACAAGTTCTGTCTGTGGCGTATTCCCCGGATGGGTCCCGCATAGCCTCTGGATCAACCGACGAACAAGTACGAGTGTGGCACACGGCGGAGATGGCAACGACCAAGGCTTCTGGCACTCCAACTCCTGTTATGTCCATCGATGTGACCTCCGATGGCAGCCAAGTCGTCGCGGCTGACCACTATGGCTGGCATCGGTGTTATGATATTGCAACACAAGCGGCCATTGGGAAACGTTTCGGCGGGGACGAGCTGCAGAGTGATACCGCACCTTGGTGTGTCGCATTTTCCCCAGATGGCAGTCGGATAATCTCGGGCTATTCCGATGGTAGCATCCGACTACGGGATGTAGAAAGAGGAACCGTCGTCGGAGAGCCGTGGAAAGGCCCGCGTATACGCGGCGTCTCCTCTATTATCTTCACACCCAGCGGCCAGCAAGTGATCTCAGGGTCTTCGGGTGGCACTATCTGTGTGTGGGACGTGGAGACTGGTAAAGCGCTCGGTGAATCTTTTAGCGGACACGACACTGGTGTTATATCCCTCGCGCCCATCGACGGCAACAGATTTGTCTCCGGATCAATGGATGAGACCCTCCGAATCTGGGATGTGGAGACTAGACAACCTGTTGGAGAGCCTCTTCGCGGTCATACCGATGAGATCAATTCCGTCGCATACTCCTCAGATGGGAGTCGGATCGTGTCCGGATCGGATGACGTCACGGTCCGGCTGTGGGACACAGAGTCCGGGGATCCCATCGGAGAGCCTTTGGTTGGCCATAACGGCGGCGTGTACTCCGTGGCATTTTGTTCTAACGATGAATATGTGATCTCAGGATCTGAAGATGGCACGGTACGAATTTGGGGCGTAGGGACGACCTCGGGGTCATTGGTCGCCGTTTTACGAGGACATTCGCACGCGGTCATGTCGGTCAAATGGTCGTCTAAGATGAGTTGCATCGTTTCCGGCTCGTGGGATGGCTCTGTCCGGTCTTGGGACATCCGAGAGCTTATCCGCAAGCCTGCCCAGCCACTCATGCAGGACCAAACAGCAGCCGAAGAGCCGATGTTCTACGGCGATACCGGAACCGATGCACCATCATCTTCGGAGTTGACGAGTTCAGGCTCTACAGGTGACGTTCTCTTTTGTTATGCCAAGTCATCCACTCATGGTGCAACTACAGACGAGGGCACGACGTCCCCTGATTCTCCGTCTCAAATCTCCATCTGTTTCTCATCCGCTCCCGAACATCGACTCCGTGACGCTGATACGTTCTTCACGAACGACGAGCAAGGATGGAGCCACGCGCGCATGAAAGCTTCATTCGGACTAGCTTCATGGAAATCGGGCAATGAGGGATGGATTTTAGGTCCCAACGACGAGCGATTACTCTGGGTTCCACAGCATAATCGTTGGAATCTCTGGCAACCTGCGTCCAGACTCTTCTTGGCCCCGGAGGAGACGACGATGTTGGATTTGAGCCGCTTCGTGCACGGCGAGAGGTGGGTAGAGTGCTACGTGCCCAGGACGGACGGGGGCGAACCTGATGGAGAGCACTGAGAATGCCGATGGCTGCGGCGATGATTGTTCGGATCGCTGTGAGATGGAACGCACGACACGCATATGATGTATTTGCGTTGGCATTCAGGATACATGCTAAGTGCATTTTTACCGCTGTATTTTGATAGCCAGACAGGGATGGTAGCGAACACGACGCAGGGAGTGCAAGCGGCCCCTCTCGATGTTGGGCTTCGAGCTTTCAAGGTACCAGGCGTTGCTCCAGCAGTCCGAACTTGGGCTGTCGGTGGTATGCGTACGGCGAACAGCGATGGAGGGAACGACCGGGTTCTAGTTGAGTGAGGCAGCGGGGGCTGCGGTCGCGATTGTTCGTGCTACGGGCTCTCGGCGTGTTCACGAAACCCCGGTGAGCGCGGTTGAGTCCGAGCTTGGAGAGGAGGCGTGGTTGAAATAGTTCAAAGGAGCGACGAGCACAGTCGGGAACTATTTCGCTATTTCATCCGATTGAGCGAAGCGATCGTCGCCAAATAGTGACGCTGACGCACCTTTGTGTGCTTTTTAGATCGTCGAGCGGCACCATGCGTGTCTATGAGCTCAGCCATCTGGAGCAATTGAAGCCTTGTACTTATGTAGGCGACGAGTGGTCGTGGAGGTTTGTGCCAAGACAAGCAATCGTTACCTGTGCGACGTCGGACACGTCAAAAGAACGGGGCTTTCAGCACTGAGCATTCGCGTCCGCGCGCGTAGAACGGGCGTTATCCAGAACACTTAGTCGACGTCGACATCAAATGGAGTGCGCAAGTCAAACCGAGAGAGATGCGTCAGAGAGATAGCCCCATATGCATCTTTGTAGATGACGAGGATAGCAGCGAGCTACCTCGCTGCCAGAAGTATTATATATATATTTGAGGAGGGGTGCGCAGAGATCCGTGAAGGCGAGCCGAGGTCGCGAGGTTCGGATCCGGAGTACATCATCCAAGCGCTCAGAGACAAAGTGGGAGACGGCTTGAGATTCGTACACATGCGAAGAGGGATTTCTCGCAATATGACGACCCCCCCCGTCCCCCCACTCATTAAGTGGACTCCCTCTTACAATTCGACTCTCCAGCGTAAGCGCCTCTTCGAAGGACTCGGCCGCAATACTGTACGCACCGGACGCTACCAGGTTCCAGGAGCAACTCGGGCCTGCTCATCGTGAGACGCTTCGACGACCATACGATCGTGAGCACGATACGTTTGTCGTCGCCTCAGGTCGAGTGTTTCTCGAGTGTTTCTCGAGAGCGCAGCACGTCTCGGTCAGCCAGCTCCTTTTTTTTGTTTTGCACCATACACGCATCGCCGGCTGGCACGACGTAGACCCAGAACGGTCCTTCCGGTTGCCGCAGGCGCAGGCTTTCAGAGCCCGAGAGCCCGAGAAAAAGAGGGTGATTATTGGGTGACTGGCACCGAGCGAGGTGGCGAAGACGGCGGCTGCCCTTTGCTTTTTTCTTTTTCTTTTTTCTTGTCTTTCTTTGTCCCCATCGGCCCTCGACGGTGTTCTAGGGGCCCAATTCAGCGAGAGTACGGGTTCGGCGAGAGCTTTAGAGGGAAAGGCACGCGGGTGGTATGGTATATGCTAGCAGAAAAAAAAAATCAGAATGATGCGCCGCTGGGATGAGCAGTTTGGCGGGGAAGGAAGCGAGAGAGAGATATCTTCGGTTGAGCATCGCGGACGGAAGATGTGGATCGGAGGGGACGTAAAGGGATCGCGTTCGGCAATCGAAGGTATGTACATAACTTAAGTTCAGGTGCCGGTCACAGCGGGCTTCGAGGATGGGTCTTGATCGCGTCGAGGAATCTAGGTACGGGTGCGTGCGCATCGAAAGGGACTTTGGTACGTTTATGTACTGGGTCATACCAACGAGCCGGAGAGACCATCGCGCAACAAGTAGACAGTCGTCGACTTTCTTTAATAAGTATTGCGGGAGTGAGCCGAAACCGATGATTCATTTTCGGAGCCAGCCGACCCTGGGACGGCCCGCCTTTTTCGTCGACGTTGCAGGGCTTGACCGCGATTCGCACGAGCCGGGGGGGACAATGGGAGCTCTCGATCAGCTTGCCGCGTTGGGCAGGAGAAGCCCGGGGTGGTGGACGGCGCATGTGATATATGTAGACGGGAATGGAAACGCGGAGAGGTACGAGAGTTTCGTTGCGGGACTTGGGCGGAGAATACACGGGTGGATGGGGTAAACAAAGCCAGACTTGAAGCTTCAAAGCGCGCCCGCGTTGCGATGATGTTACAAAGCTAGACAGACATAGCGAGCGCTGGCGGTCCCGTCTTGGCTGAGATTATACATATGTCGACGGCGATCTGGACCGGAATGGGGAGCGCGGGCTTGGGAGGCGATGAAGAGGGAGACACGAGCGGCACGCAGCTCTCTCGATCGCGTGCAGCCGAGAAACAATTGGGCAGGGACGGGGGGCAAGTCCCTCCTCCGCGGAAATCGACACCGCTCGCGTTTCACTGCCCCCCCCTGGGCTCCCGGATCGCGATTGGCCAGCTCGGCCGGGCGCGAGGACGCGGCCTCCCATGCTCACCTCCGCGTACGGCGAACGATATTTGGTGTTGGCCTGCGCTTACGCGGATAGAGATGTTCAGTTTTCTCGAAGTAGTTTCTTTTATGTTCGAGTCACGGAGGTTGCACAGAGATCCGTGAAGGCGCGCGCCTCGGTCGTGAGGAACGCATCGGCCGGCCATCATTCGTGCGCTCAGAGGCGGACAAAGGGAGAGACGGCCCCGCGCTTTTTGGGATGTGCGCGTGTGAAGGGAGAGAAAATTGGCCGGGCAGCAGACGTTATATAGCCCCGGCGTCCTGTTTGGACCCCGCCCTCCCTTCCCCGCGCTGCGAGCCCCGACCCGGTCTCTTGCCTGCTTCCCTCTTCCTCCTCCTTCCCTCCTCTCGTCCTCGTCGACGTCAGCACCAGCGAGCAGCAGCTCCGGCGACTTGATTGAGCGCCTCCGCCTGAATTATTTGTGCACAGCGTTGTTGCAGCGCTATCAGGTCTGCGTCGGGCTTCTGTCTCAGTCGCACCCGGCGCATCCGTCCCGAGCCCGGGTCCGTCGAGTATCCTGCACACGGCCGCCAACGACGACGACAGCGACAACAACAAGAGCATACTACACGTCTCTACTTTATACCGTCGCCACCGCTTTGAAATCACCCCAAGACATCGACCACCACCCAGAGACCACATAACCCGACCACCTCATCGCAGAACAGGACCGGAAACACACATGCGCCATGGAGTCTGCACCCTTACCCTCGACCCTCCCGATCCTGCCCCTCCCGCACCCGCTCCTGCTCCTGCCCACCGCCCGCACGACGCTCTTCCTCTCCGCGCCCGTCGGCGAAGCCCTCCTCCACCTCCTCCACGCCCGCGACCCGGACCTCGCCCAGCCCATCCTCGGCGCCGTCCCGCTCCTGCCCCACCCCCCGCGGGACACCCAATACAAGGGACACCCATCCACCAACGCCCTCGTGCCCTACACCAAGGGGGCCGGCGCCGACGACAACAAGACCGCGCCGCCGACGCTGTGCGAGTACGGCGTCGCCGCGCGCGTCGTCCGCCTCGCGCGCGCCTCGCCGCAATCCCTCCGCCTGCTCGGCGGCGGCAGCGGCGGCTCGACCGCGGCCCACTCGGCGGCCCCGCACGTGGGCGGGTACTCGCTCACCTTGCACGGCCTCGCGCGCATCCGGCTCGCTTCGCCGGACGCGAGCGAGCGCGCGCTCCCGAAGAACTGCGAGGCCAACCCCGCCGCCTCGCTCGCGAACCGCGACGTCGAGTACCTCGCTTCTTTCTCGGCGGGGGAGCAGGAGGGCGTGGACGAGGCGCTCGTGGAGGGCTTCAAGATCGCGACGCATAGGCTGTTGGACCGGCTCGCGGCGGAGGGCGAGCGGCCCGGGAAGGAGGTGTGGGAGCGGATCCGGCGCGTGGTGGACGACGCGAGGACGGACGCGACGAGGGAGAAGGGGAGCGTCGCGTGGGCGGCGGACGTGCTCGTCGCCGCCATCGCCCAGGAATACGAAGACAAGCTCGGTTCGTGTCATCATCGCCGATCTACAACCCGACATCTCACACGACTCGTCGTATTCTGTTTTTTTTTTTTGATCGACAGAGTACTTGTGCACGCCGACGCTCGCGGCGCGGCTGCAGCGCGCGACGGCGCTATGCGTCAAGCGCACGAGCATCCTCGAAGTGAGCTCCAAGGTCGCGAGCGACGTCGCGGAGAGCCTCGGGCGGCAGCAGAAAGAGTTTTACCTCCGGCAGCAGATGGCCGCCATGAGGCGATGACGAGTTCAACGCTGGAAAACGTGAGCACGATCAGCTCCAAGATTCGCGCAGTGGGATGCGGAGAGTGGGGGGGGGGGGGAAACCCACCGGCGAGCTCCTTCTGAACGGGCCCGTCGGCGATAGCGCGCAGGGTCCGGCGCCGCCGCCCGCGAGCGACCTCGATACGGACGAGGGCGCGGACGCGGACGAGCTCTCGGCGCTCCGGGCGAGGATCGAGGCGCTCGTGCCGGGATCCGAGGAGCGGAAGACGGCCGCTAGGGAGTGGAAGCGGATGCGGAGGATGCAGCCTAGCAGCGTCGAGGCCGGGGTCGTGAGGAGCTACGTGAGTGCCTCTCCGCGCATATATACCACATGCGTCTTCTCGTTCTCGCGGAGGAAACGCGACGCTTACGATGAGCCGTGCAGCTCGAATGGCTCGTGGCGCTTCCGTGGCCGACGACCCAGGGCGACCGCGCGAAAGAGAACGACGAGATCTTGGGAGACCCGGCCTTCCTGCAGAAAGCGCGCGCGCAGCTCGATCGGGATCATTACGGCCTGGACAAGGTCAAGCGCCGGCTCATCGAGTACCTCGCCGTCGTCCGGCTTCGCGCCGCGGCGGAGAGGGAAGAAAGCGCGCGGGCGCAGGTGGGCAGCGATCAGGGGAGGATCGAGGAGGTGAAGGAGGGCGTCCACTTGGTGGGCGGCGAGGTGTCGTCGGTGTCGAAGGAGGCGCCGAAGAGGGCGCAGGGAGGCGTTAAGGGCCCGATATTGTTGCTTACGGGTCCGCCGGGTGTGGGGAAGACGTCGCTCGGGGCGTCGATCGCGCGCGCGCTGGGCAGGCCGTTCGCGAGGGTGTCGCTTGGTACGCGCTTTTCACTTCGCGATGCTTTACACTCAATTGACGTCGTGCTGCAGGTGGAGTTCGCGACGAGGCGGAGATTCGTGGACATAGGAGGACGTATGTTGCCAGCGGCCCTGGACGGATCGTGCAGGCTATCAGGAGGGCGGGTCGCTCGGATATGGTCATGCTGCTCGACGAGATCGATAAGGTCGGACAGAGCAGCGTGCACGGTGACCCGAGCGCGGCGTTGCTCGAAGTTCTGGACCCCGAGCAGAACCACGCCTTCGTCGTACGTCGGCCTCTTACTCCTGATGCGAAACGGGGCTGACGCGTCGCGCGTTGAATTAGGACCACTACATCAACGTCCCGCTCGACCTCTCGCGCGTGTTGTTCGTGTGCACGTCCAACACGCTCGAGACGATCCACCCCGCGCTGCTCGACCGGTGCGAGGTCGTCCGGCTCGCGGGCTACACCCACGCCGAGAAGCTCGCGATCGCGCGCCGGTTCATACTCCCCAAGCAGCTCGCCGCGAACGGGATGGACGAGACGCGGTGCGTGGTCGACGACGCGTGCGTCGGGCGCGTCGTCGACGGGTGGACGCGCGAGGCGGGCGTGCGCAGCCTCGAGCGCGCGGTCGGCGCCGTGGTGCGGTATAAGGCCGTGCAGTGGGCCGAGACGCGCGATGCGGGGGCGGCGGAGAAGGGCGGCAAACGGTTTGAGCCGAAGGTGGGCGAGTGGGAGCTCGAGACGATATTGGGCCCGAGCTTTGGGAACGTGGAGGAGAGGGAGAGGGAGGAACGGCCTGGGCTCGTGTATGGGCTCGTGGTGACCGGCCTTGGGGAGGGCGGGATTATGCCGGTCGAGACGGGGCTTGTGCCCGGGAGCGGGAGGCTGAAGCTTACCGGGTCGCTTGGCGAGGTGCGTTTGACCCCTCGGTTTGTTTCGTGCACCGCTTGACGTTCTTCTATGTATGCGCAGGTGATCAAGGAGTCGGCGGAACTCGCGCTGTCCTGGGTCAAGGCGCACGCGTACGACCTGTACGTCACCAAGGCGCGCGGCCAGGACCCGCTCAAGCAGGGGATGGACGCCGTGGACGTGCACATGCACCTGCCCGCGGGCGCGCAGCGCAAGGACGGCCCGAGCGCGGGCGTCGCCATGGTCTGCGCGCTCGTCTCGCTCCTCACCGGCCTCTGCGTCCCGACGTCGATCGCGATGACGGGCGAGATCACGCTCCGGGGCCGCGTCGCGCCCGTGGGGGGCGTGAAGGAGAAGGTGCTCGGCGCGCACCGGGCGCAGGTGACGAAGGTGATCGTGCCGTGGGCGAACCGGCGGGAGGTCGAGCACGAGGTCGCGCCCGAGGTGAGGAAGGAGGTGGCGTTCGTGTTCGTGAGGAGCGTGGAGGAGGCGCTCGAGGCGGCGTTCGGGCCCCAGTTGAGGTGGAGGACGCAGACGCAGCATGTGATGCTCGAGAGTCGGCTGTAGGAGGATATCTTGAATCGGAACGGACGGTGCTTTGCTGAGTCCCGGTCGGAAGTGGGCCGGGGCTGGATACCAAGTGGAATAGCTGTACAGTGTATCATTTGTTAATGGCGGAGGTACGGTCTGTGGGATAGGGACATCGGAAATAAACAGTCTTGTTGGATCTCGATTCGCGGTAGCGATACCGGAACAGGGCCAGAGAGAGCAACATAAGGTATATTCGAATAGCAGTGTGGATACTATACATGTGAAGTAATATTCTGACTGGACTGCAAGATCATGGTAGAGGGGGGGGGGGGCATGTAACGCATACAGACGGTCATTGCGCAGCGGTGCTGTTCTTGGTGATATTCAACATGCCGACCATCGTGGCGATGCTGTTCTCCTTCCCGAGCTTCTTCGCCACTCGTTGGCGCGCATCGTGCGTCAGCTTTTCCGGAAGATGGAGGTTTGGTAACGGGAGCTTCGTGGGCGAGGCGGCTGCTGCCTTGAACGGTTCCGCGTCGGCCGTCGGCGTGCCGAGGTTGTCGTGTCCTGACGCGGACGGCCGCAGTGGACCTCGGGATGCGTCGGATTCGGAAAGCGCGTTTTGGGGCGTGCTCTTCCATTCGGAGGGCATACTGGCCAGAAATGTTTTCGTTTCCGACTTCAGCTGCGCGCCGAGGACGAGCAAGTCCACTATGGGCGAAGTCGTTGAGCGTCGGTGGCGCGGGTGATGAGCGAGCGAGCATGGTGGCTGGAAGACGTACTGGTGAGTTCCCAGAGGTTCATGGCGCCCGCGCGAACGAATGCTGCGTCGATCAGCTGCTCGAGAACCGCGCTCCCTGGTAATGAGACGGGTATTTCGCGGACGAGGCATTCGATTACTTCGGCAAACATCGTGTCGTTGATGTAAGTATCGCACAAGTCCTGTATAAGGAGAAGGTTGAGCGCTTTGCGGCGTCGGGCACGAGTCGGATGCACTTACCGTTATGGTGCATTTCATGATGTCGGCGTCCTGAGGGACGACGCCACGGGAGAACTCCTTCTTGAGACCATTGCAGATCTTGATGAAAGATTCGGGGCTTATTTTCATGTCGCGGTCGTCGTCCCCGCACTGATTGCACGCCTTTTCGGGCGCGGGCGCGGGCTGCAGCGCGGGTTGATCCCTGAACGCAGTGGGGTCCAAGGTCTTGACGAGGTAGTCGAATAGTTCCGAGTCCATGTTGCTGGAGCGTTAGTGTGTCGAGTAGAGATGATGGTATCCTGCGGGGTGTGGACGAGAGGATGGAGACATTGCTGGATTGTTGATATAGTGTCAGATCCGGAGTCGGTGACAGGCGGAGTGGCAGCCCGGGCGTTGTGTCCACTGGACGCTGCAATGCGCTGACGCTGAAGCAAGGCCACCGGATGCGCAGCAGGGAAGTCATTGTTCAGGGCGTAGATGCTGCAAGGCCACAAGAGAAGTAAGATCGGTGCACCGCGGTGGGCGTTGTGGACCGTTTGTTGCCATGACAGAACTAGACGAATCAAGGTGGCCTTGACCAGTTTCTTGACCGGGATTATTTGCAAGACCAGGTCCGCGTGTGATAAGTGGGTGATCAAAGCACGGAGCAAAAGAAATGGAGGAATTGACAAAGCGTCTGAGATGAACGCGGTGAATGCCCACGGGATCTAACAGGCGGGCTGCTATAAGCGTAACGGGCGTTGATCTCCTCGTTCTCTGGACAAGGCCCCGTCCGCGTCCCTCCCTCTCTGGCGGCTGGATACCCCGGACAACCCTTGGGATCACCAACTCGCAATGGAGTCCTACACACAGGCCTCCGTCGGCAACGGCCACCACCTTCGCTCGCCTTACCATCAGTCGCCCGTCGCCTCGGGCTCGCACCGGCGCCATGTCTCCAAGCAGCGTTTCTACGCCGAGCTCTCGCAGTGTCTCTACGACTTTGTCATACAGCTCTTGCCGACGCCGGAAGAGATGGCCGTCAAGGAAGACGTGCGGAGGCTGCTCGAGCGGCTGATTCGCACCATAGAGCCTAACAGCCGCCTATTATCCTTCGGGAGCACCGCGAACGGCTTCAGTCTACGCAATTCTGGTGAGCGCCGCGCGCAAAGTTTTCGTTGAAAGTTGATTGCGAGCGTGTACAAGACATGGATCTGTGCTGCCTCATTGATTCTGAGAATCGATTGCCTGCGAGCGACCTGGTGAACATGCTTGGAGATCTGCTGGAGCGTGGTACGTGTAACGTCCAGAATCACCCGCGATTACCTTCCTCGGCGAACTGTTTGCACCTCGCAGAAACCAAATTTCACGTCAAGCCTCTCCCCTACGCCCGGATACCCATCGTCAAGTTGTCCCTCGATCCGTCCCCCGGGCTTCCGTGTGGCATAGCGTGTGACATCGGATTCGAGAATCGACTGGCTCTCGAGAACACGCGATTGCTCATGTGCTACGCCATGATCGACCCCGCCCGCGTGCGGACCATGGTCCTCTTCCGTACGTACGCCTCCGCCCCCCACGCCGCGCCCATGCCCCATTCTGACATGTTGTCGGTGGCACAGTTAAGGTTTGGAGCAAACGGCGGTACGCATCGATATCTCTCTTCTCGCTTCCCGTCCCGCGCTGCACCCTCGTTGATGCCGATGGTGACTCACGCCGGCCATCCTGATATAGAAAGATCAACTCGCCGTACAAGGGCACGTTGTCATCTTACGGCTACGTTCTGCTGGTCATATATTTCCTTGTGCACGTCAAGAATCCGCCCGTGCTTCCGAATCTACAATCGATGCCGCCTCTTCGCCCTATATCGCACGTGAGAGTCCCTTTGCTGCAGTACCCTTTTTTCGGATTTTGATGACCGCTCAGGAAGAGAGTCATATCGGCGAACATGATATCTGGTACGCTAACCTTAAGGTGGCCTGGACCCATTCCTGATCCGCGTGGCCAGGTTCTTTGATGATATAGATCTGCTTCGCCAACGTTGGAAATCCTCTAATACACAAACGGTCGCCGAGTTGTACGTCGCTTCCGCCGTCTTTATGCTTCATATTCTGATATGCGGTCAGGCTTTCGGACTTTTACAGGTACTATGCAAGAGATTTTCCTTATTCCTTGGGCGTCGTGTCCGTGAGGGCAGGTCTGGTGAAGAAGGAAGATAAAGGCTGGCTAACAGAGGTGCGTTCGTCGGAAATATCGCTGCCTCTGCCGTTGCTGACTGTTTCTCAGCTCAGCAGCTATAATGATGCGAGAGAGCCCAACCGGTTCTGCATCGAAGTGAGTGTCTCAGATGGTTTCAGTCGGCCATGATGGCTCAATATCGTACAGGATCCGTTCGAGTTGGATTACAACGTCGCTCGTTGCGTCTCCAAAGATGGTCTGTACACGGTGAGCGCATCGAAAGCGGATGCAACTGCTTGATTGTTCATGAGGGTTCAAAGATTCGCGGCGAGCTCATGCGGGCGTCACGGATCATCGGTAACCGCCCGGATCGCGCCATAGTCGCGCTTTCTCAGCTTTGCGAAGAACGGCCGGAGGATGAACCATTGCGAGCCTCGCCGCCGCCCAAACCGCGCGTACCACAGCGCCTCTCGAACCTTCCGCCACAGACACCGTACACTGTCACGAGCAGCAACCTCCGCCCGGGTGCGGTACCCTTCAAGGGGGACAGCGTGCTGGGGCCCTCCCTCTCACGGCAGCCTACGGAGCCGCTGCCGGAAGTGCCGATCAGTCCTCCGCCGGATCATATGGGCCCTCAGCGGTTGAAGTGGACGAGCCCGCCGCCGGAGCACGCGCCGGTCGAGGACCGGGTGTCGTTTGAGGATCGGCTCGGCGAGGGCCTGCTGCTTGCAACGTTGTCGACCGAGGCGCGCGAGCGCTCGACGTCGTACGCGTCCTCGTCGAACAACAGTGAAGTGCTCACGGATGACGGGGGCACGCCGTCCGACGTTGCGGACCTGGACGAGGTCCGCTCCGTGCGCTCATACACAGAAGAGTCGTTGCAGCCGCCACTGCTGAACTCGCCCCCGCTCGGCGCGCCGTCGACGTCGTACGAATCGGAGTCGTCCGCGCACTTACCCGCGCGCCCGCGACCGCCTGCGAACCAGCGCATGCCTTTCCGCTTCCGCGGGCGGCCCGCGAACCGTCCTGGAGAGGATGTGCCGGTATCACAAGCGCCTGTCACGAACCGCGACTTTAGGGCGCTCGTCAACGCTGCGCAGGTGGACCCACCGCGGAGATCGCTGTCCACGCCCGGACCAGCCTCGCATCGCCTTTCACTCCCCGTGATGCCTACGTATGGGCATCAGTCTCCACCGTTCCAGTTTCCGGTCCCTCGTGGAGTGGAGAGGGACCCGGCTCCTTCGCATTCAAACATATTCTACGAGACGGGCACCTCGCCGAGGACGCCCGTGCCCGTCGTCAACGCCGTTCCTTACTCGCATTCTCAAACACCTCCACAACAGCATCATCAACCTCAACATCCAGCAATTCAAGCACCAACTCAAGCAGGAACATATGTAGCAATGCTCGCGCCATACTATCACCAACAGCAACAGCAGCAGCAGCAGCAGTACCTCGCCAGCCTTGCCGCTTCCGCGAACGCAGCGGTTGCGGCTTCGTCTCCGCCGCCGTCGTGGTCTTCCCCGCCGTCGCCAGGGAGACGGCAGGCAGGCACTGCGCTGCACCATACCCAGCCAACGCGCGGATACCAGCAGCTTCCGCCGCGATTGTCGCCATCGCGCTCGCCAAACTCATCCGACACCCACACGCCCACCCCGGGCGATCCAGGTCTGTCGTCCGTGCCCCACAGACGGGCATCGCACTCGCACACGCATTCGGCGGCGACGATCGTCCCGCCGCTCACACCTGGGGCGGCAGCGAGGCGGCCTATCGTGGATATCTCGAGGTCGTCGAGCGCGTCGCCGTCCCGCTCACGGTCCCCGCCGCAGCATCTCAGCGGCATCTCGCGCCTTGCCCCGAGCGGCGTGAAGCTGTCGCCGCCATCACCCTCAACGGTTGCGAAGAACCAAAGTCAAAGTCAATCCCCTTCCCCGCCGCGGTCGGGAAGCGAGTCGCCGGCGTCGTCGTCTGTGAGCTCGCACTATCCGCCATCGTCGCTCTCGTCGCGCTCGATTTCGCCCGCGTCGCCGTTGCACCGGCCGGCGAGCGGGTTCAACGTCACGCTTCCGCCGAGCGTGGCAGAGGAGGAAGCGTTCTCGCCGTCGGCGTCGCCGACGCCCAAGTCGGAGTATCCGCCTACACCCGATACGGCGGTGCCGCCGTCACTGCTGAGCGGGTTCTCCTTGCTGAGTACCGCCGATGTGGCGGGGGAGAAGCCGACGACGGCGTCGCCTGGTGGTTCCGTCAGCCCAAGCTCGACTGCGGCGTCGACAGTGGTCATGACGAGGTCAACTTCCACGATATCTTCGGCGCCTGGATCGTCCAGACTCGCATCTCCAAATTTGCCTTCGTTGCCAACCGTTGCCCTCAACACCGACTTTCGACATCCAGTGGACGACAAGCCGTAGGACCCACCGGTGTGACGGATTTCGAGGGCTGCCTCTGATTTCACATCATGCTGTCCGTGGGGATGCGCACAAGCTGGCAAGGGATTTTGACCTTCAGCCACCCCGAATAGAAGCGGATATCCGTATTCTTTATCTCGCTTACTTAGGATCCGTCGTGCAATTGTCGTGGATTCTTACCTCATGATCGTCTCGCGTATATGCTCGGAGCGAACCGTCGTACTGCTCCGACCGGTCCCGCAAGCCACTGGCGCGTTGTCGCGTTACATTTTAGATAATGTACATGTACGCGCGGGGAATGGAGCCTGCAGGCGCATACGAAGCGGTGGGGCTACGGAAAGCGTGTGTGTGAAGGTCAAGGAAGGGCCGCGACAGCACCAGGATGAGTAGATTTGGTTTTACTCCTGGGCCGCGAATGGATTTGCGATCTCTTCGAAACCGTCTACGGGGCTGAGCAAGGTGATGGTGGGACCTCGGAGGACGACGAGACCTAGGGATCGTGTATGGGGTTCGGGTTCTGGAAAAACGGCAGGGTCAGTGTTGGTACGGCGACAAGGCTCCATGGAAAGCGTACCAGAGAAGTGCTCTTCGACCTCGTCCAGAACGAGATTGAGCAGCTGGTCGTAGCCTTTCAGTACGCCTGTGACTGGAACAGTCGCGTCTTGTCAGCCGACGCTGAGTGATGTATGAGCACACGGCGCGACGCACCTTCCCGTCCACCGGTGAATTTGACGCGGATGCGCTCGTTCGAGTACTTTGAGAGGTCGAGGATGGCCTCGCGCTTGGGTTTGTCCATTGTCGGCTGGGGCCCCTGGGGGCCACCGCGCCCTCTACCTGCGCCCCCTCCCATGCCACCGCGCGCTCCCCTGGGTGCACCACGGCCCTATGAGATCAACATCGATCCTGAGCTCCGGAATGCGTGGAGGTGTGGCTTACCCTGTCTGCCATCGTACGAGAGGTGGATGTGGTTTTGTTGGGTGGGTCGAGAACTCTGAAAGATGGCTGTTGAGGGATTTTCGTGCGAAACCCCCACGCGTCGCGGATGGTTGGCCGGGGCTCGTCGAGTCAAGCGCTCGCTGCAGAAAAGCGGGCGGGTGGAATCCCGGTGGATATCGACCGACGCGATAAGGGCGTAGCGAGCGGGAGATCAGACAGCACTGAAGCACGAGCTGGGGCCGTGTACGTGATAGAAAATAGTGTGGCGGATCAGGCCTTGAACCGATCCTCCTTGTTTGCGCCGTCCACACTGCCCGCCTTGTTCCCCGACCACCACGACCAGGCCACGCCCCCAACAAAGACCACAAAATAATCCGCCCGCCCATAAATACACGACGCGATCGCACACCTCCGCTACTGAGACGACGACCCACGCCCGTCCGGCCCTTTTTCGACGACCATGAGTGCCCGCGAACTTCTGGAACATACGCTCTCGCCTGGTGCGCATCATTATCGCGTTTGACCCTCTCCCTTGACCTCACCACGATCGTCTTCGCTACCTTCAGACCAGGCGACGCGTCAGGATGCTACGCAAAAGCTGGAACAGGCGGCTGCGACCAACTATGTGAGTCGCTCGTGCTCCCTATGCCGATCTGAAGCTGATTGTCTGCGTTCGTGCGCGATCCTCTAGCCTGCGTACATGCTCATGTTATCCGCCGAACTCGTGAACGAGAACACGCCGCCGCATCTTAGGAGCGCCGCAGGTCTCGCGTTGAAGAACGCCCTGACCGCACGCGTATGTCTCACAATTTGACGTTAATCGGAACTCGTTACCTATTTGGTGTACGGATGTAGGACGCCACAAGGCAGACCGATTACGCCAACCGATGGCTAGGCATCGATACTCAAACGAGGGGCAAGATCAAGCAGGATGCGCTCATGTCTCTCGCTTCGCCCCAACAACGAGCAGGAACCGTGGCTGCCCAGTTCGTGGCTGCCATCGCCGCCGTCGAGCTTCCCCATGGCCAGTGGCCAGAGCTCATCGACATCCTGCTCGGCTTCGTGAACGACGCGACGAATGTCAACCTTAGGATAGCTACGTTGGAAGCGATCGGCTTCGTCTGCGAACAAGTGGTACGCAGATTATGCAAACTCTGCGTGATAGACGATATTCAAGGTTCTCTCTCCTTTCTTCCCCAGAAACCGGAAATCCTCACGCATCAATCAAACTCGATTCTCACCGCCGTTATTCACGGCGCCCGGAAGGACGAACCGTCTACGGAGGTGCAAAGAGCCGCTGTCACCGCGCTCTTCAACTCGCTCGACTTCGTTCGCGAGAACTTTGAGCGCGAGGTCAGTATCTCACAACACCGTCCAAGCATGGATCTCCTGTTTACCATGCTCTCTTCTAGGGCGAGAGAAATTACATCATGCAGGTCGTCTGCGAGGCGACGCAAAATCCGAACGTGCAAGTTCAGGTCGGCGCGTTCGAATGTTTGGTGCGCATCATGAGCTTGTACTACGATAAGATGACGTTCTACATGGAGCGCGCGTTGTTCGGGGTGAGTGCCACACTTTTCCGCCTTTGATGGCTGTACTGATCATACCGCACGAGCAGCTTACTGTCCAAGGAATGAAGTCGAGTGAGGAATCCGTCGCATTGCAAGCCATTGAGTTCTGGTCTACTGTCTGCGAAGAAGAGAGTGAGCTGAACATGGAAGCTGCTGAGGTGAGATTGCTCGCCCCTTATGTAAGATTGTCATTCGCTGAGCATGCCTATGATCTTCCAGGCTGCTGAGTACGGCGAGATCCCCGAGCGCGAGTCCAAATACTTCGCGAAGATCGCCTTACCCGAGATTGTGCCCGTCCTCCTTGAGCTGCTCACTCACCAGGACGAGGACGCAGACGAGGACGAGTGGAACGTCGCGATGGCTGCTGGAACATGTATCGGCCTTCTCGCACAAGCCGTGCAAGACGCGATCGTGCCAGCGGTGATCCCGTTCATCGAGCTGAAGATCCGCGATCCGGACTGGCACTCGCGCGAGGCGGCCATCATGACGTTCGGCTCGATCCTCGAGGGCCCTGACCCGGCCGTGCTCGCACCGCTCGTGAACCAAGCCCTACCGCTCCTCATCCAGCTCATGGCGGACCCGAATGTGAACGTCAAGGATACGACGGCGTGGACGCTTGGCAGAGTGTGCGATCTGCTTGTCACGTCCATCAAGCCCGACGTTCACCTCCACGACCTCGTATCGGCGCTCGTTGCTGGCCTGAACGATAACCCACGAATCGTGGCCAACTGCTGTTGGGCGCTCATGAACCTCGCCGATCAGCTTGGTTCTTACTACGAAGACGAGACACAGGGTGCGACGAGCAACCCTCTGTCGCCATATTACCAAGGCGTCGTTGAGGCCCTGTTACGAGTAACAGAAACGTCAGTCATGCTGTCCATCTCTGGAACCTCCCCGCTCACTCTGATACTCATAGCGCCGGAAACGAAGCTAACTACCGCACCTCTGCATACGAGGCCATCACCTCATTCATGACCAACGCGCCTCCGGACGCCATTCCCGTCGTGCAGAACACCGTGGTCACGATCCTTATGCGCATGGAACAGCTATTAGGCATGCAAAACCAGATCTTGGGAGTCGACGACCGTAACAACTGGAATGACCTGCAAAGTAATTTCTGCAGCGTGACTGGGGTAAGATCGACGTCCAATTGTGAGGAAGCGCGTTGATGACGGTCGTTCCGCAGAGCGTTGTTCGCAAGCTGGAGGCGGGCATCGCACCTCTGTCGGATCGAATCATGACTCTACTCCTCCAGCTCATGGCAGCTGCTGGTAAAACGTCCACGATACTCGAAGACGCGTTTCTCGTCGTTGGCACGCTCGCGACAGGCACGTAACACTCCGATTCTTTTCCACTCCGGGCCGGCGCTAATGCTCCAACTTTTTCAACAGCTCTCGAGAAGAACTTTGCGCCTTACGTCCAAGCGTTCCTGCAGTTCCTCTATCCTGCGTTGAAGGCGCACGAAGACACACAATTGTGCATGGTCGCCGTCGGTCTTATCGGCGACATCTCCCGCGCGCTCGGGGAGCAGAGCACGCCGTACGCGAGCCAGTTCATGACTGTGCTGCTCGAGAACCTGCAGAGCGAAGTGCTCAATCGGAACGTGAAGATTCCGATCGTGTCGTGCTTCGGCGACATCGCCCTCGCGATTGGGCCCTCGTTCGAACCCTACCTCAACACCACCATGACCGTGTTAGAGCAGGCTGGCTCCCTACAACCGAACCCTGTACGTCCGATCTTAGCCGGATATGACTATACGCTGATGGTAGTCTAGCTGGACTACGACTTGCTCGACTACGTCGCGCAGCTGCGAGAAGGTATTCTCGAGGCATACACCGGCATCGTCACTGGTCTCAAGGCGAGTGACAAGGGTACGTCCGTGTTCGCTCATACCTTCCATCGTGCTAACCATCGATCACAGTCAACTTGATAATCCCGCACGTTCCGAGCATCCTCAACTTGATCCAACGATGCCTCACGGACGAGGAGAGGACAGACGCCATCGTGAAGCTTTCTCTTGGCCTCGTCGGCGATCTTGCGGACGCCTTCCAGAACGGCCAAATTAAGCAGTACCTGCTCGCCGAGTGGCTAGCGAACGAGCTCCGGTCGAAGGGCCGTATGCCACCCGAAACGAAGAAGACCATGCGCTGGGCGAGAGAGGTATGTCTCCCCTATCTCCTCGGAGACGGCGACGATGCTAACCGCAGTCTTCAGATGGTCAAGCGGGCTACCGCATAAACATCGTCGTTCAACCGACGCGCTTGAATTGGGATTCTTTCTGTCGTTTTCTTTCTCTTCTCATCTCCTGTTGTCGACTACCTACGCTATTGAGCCCGTTGCCCCTCTCAAGGAGGACATAGCACGGCCTCGCTCTCGCTTATCTACATTCGAACCAGAGGTTAAATGCAAGTTTTTACATCCGTCACTAGACCCCTCGCTACCCACCGCGCGCCTTGATTCCGTCAAACTCGCGCTCCTCACAATGTCACCTGTATCGAAAAACGTCCTTAGTCTGCATTTCCATTGCCATCCACCTAGTCCTCCTCGGTCCTGCGCTGTATCTTAACGCGTGTTCTTTGCCCTCCCAAATATTCACTTCATTTGCTACGACCACACTCCCATATACGTGCGACTACCACGTTGGTGGATTCAATCCCATACTAGGCCCCCGCGACTCGGAGTCGTGCCATCCTTGTTGACAACGATATGCCTCGCGAGGTCTACGGGTTCGTATTCTACACCCTTTTGCGGAGCTGGAATCGGTGTACGACGCCAAATGCTGTGGATCGCGAGCACAATTGAACGTGTATAGACTGGCCGGTTCGGGGCTTGCGCGGGAGCGCTGAGACAAGACGCCGGCGCTATTACTACAGTATGGGGCCAATTTTCTCTTCCCCCTTGTCTCTGAGCGCATGGATGATGGGCGGCCGATGCATACCTCGCGACCTCGGCTCGCCTTCACGGATTTCTGTGCACCCTCCTCAAGTATATAACGTACTGCTGGCGGCGAGGTAGCTCGCTGCCATCTTCGTCATCTACATAGATGGGCTATTGCTCTGACGCATCTCTCTCGATTTGACTTGCGCACTCTAATCGAATTCGACCAAGGGTTCTGGATAACGCCCGTTCTACGCAGACGTGAACGCTCAGCGCTGAAAGCCCCGTCTTCGCGACGCGTCTGACGTCATAAACGTCCACAACCACTTGTCTCCTACGCGCAAGCATCCGTTTGCTCTAGATGGCCGAGCTTCGGGACACGCACGATGCTGCTCGACGGTCTGAAAAGCACACAAAGGTGCGTCAGCGTCACTATTTGGCGATGATCGCTTCGCTCAATCGGATGAAATAGCGAAATAGTTCCCGACTGTGCTCGTCGCTCCTTTGAGTTATTTCGGCCACTCCTCCTCTCCAAGCTCGTACTCAACCGCGCTCACCGGGGTTTCGTGAACCCGCCGAGAGCCAATAGCACGAACAATCGCGACCGCTACCCCCGCTGCCTCGCTCAGCTAGAACCCGGTCGTTCCCTCCATCGCTGTTCGCCGTACGCATGCCACCGACAGCCCAAGTTCGGACTGCTGGAGCAACGACTCGTGCTTTGGAGGCTCGAAGCTCAACATCAAGAGGGGCCGCTTGCACTCCCTGCGTCGTGTTCGCTACAGCGGTAAGAATGCACCTTGCATGTATCCTGACTGCCAATGGAAATACGTCATATACGTGTCGTGCGTTTCGTCTCCGAACGATCCGAACAATCATCGCCGCAGCCTTCGGCATTCTCAGTGCTCTCCACCAGCTTCGCCCTCGTCCGTCCTGGGCTCGTAGAAATTGTAGCACTCTGCCCACCTCTTGCCGTGAACGAAGTCCCTCAAATTCAACATCGTCGTCTCCTCCGAGGGCAAGAACAGTCTGGATGCAGGTTGCCAGAGATTCCAGCGACTATGCTGTGGGACCCAGAGTAGTCGCTCGTCGTTGGGACCTAAAATCCATCCCTCATCCGCCGATCTCCATGAGGCTAGTCCGAATGAAGCTTTCATGCGCGCGTGGCTCCATCCTTGCTTTCCGTCCAGGAAGAGCGTATGAGCGTCACGGAGTCGATGTTCGGGAGCGGATGAGAAACAGATGGAGATTTGAGACGGAGAATCAGGGGACGTCGTGTCCTCGTCTGTAGTTGCACCATGAGTGGATGACTTGGGACAACAAAGGAAAACGTCACCTGTACAATTTGAACTCGTCAACTCCGAAGATGATGGTGCATCGGTTCCAATATCGTTGTGGAATATCGGCTCTTGGAATGCTGTTTTGTCCTGCATGAGTGGCTGGGTAGGCTTGCAGATAAGCTCTCGGATGTCCCAAGACCGGACAGAGCCATCCCACGAGCCGGAAACGATGCAGCTCGTCTTAGACGACCATTTGACCGACATGACCCTGTGCGAATGACCTCGTAAAACGGCGACAGAGGGCGTCCCTACGCCCCAAATCCGTACCGTGCCATCCATAGATCCAGAGATCACATACTCATCGTTGAAACAAAATGCCACGGAGTGCACAATGCCGTCATGGCCAACCAAAGGCTCTCCGATGGGATCCCCGGACTCTGCGTCCCACAGCCGGACCGTGCCATCATCCGATCCGGAAACGATTCGGCTCCCATCTGAGGAGTATGCGACGGATCTGACCTCATGGGTATGACCTCGAAGAGGCTCTCCAACAGGCTGTCTATTCTCCACATCCCAGACTCGGATGGTGTGATCCTCTGATCCGGAGACAAGCCTATTGCCGTCGATGAGCGATAGTGCGAGGGATCTAACACCAGCGTTGTGTCCGCGCAAAGATTCACCGAGCGCTTTACCAGTCTCCACGTCCCACACACAGATAGTGCCGTCCAAAGACCCTGAGATCACTTGCTGGCCACTGGGCGTGAAGAGGATAGAGAAGACGAAGGCTGTATACGGGCGTTTCCACGGCTCTCCGACGACGGTTCCTTTCGCTACATCCCATAGCCGGATGCTACCATCGGAATAGCCCGAGATTATCCGACTGCTATCTGGGGAAAATGCGACACACCAAAGTGTGGCACCACTCTGCAGCTGATCGCCGCCGAAAGGTTTCCCAATGGCCGCTTGTGTTGCAATATCATAACACCGATGCCAGCCATTCACGTCAGCCGCGACGATTTGGCTACCATCGGAGGGCACATCGATGGACGTAACAGGAGTTGGAGTGCCAGAAGCCTTGGTCGTTGCCATCTCCGCAGTGTGCCACACTCGTACATGTCCGTCGTGTGATCCAGAGGCTACGCGGGATCCATCCGGGGAATATGCCACAGACCAAACTCGTATACTCTGGCAATGAACCGGCTCTCCGAGTTCGGCTCCGTTCTTCGCGTCCCACAGTCGAATCGTGTCATCGTATGAGCCGGAAACGATGTACTTTCCGTCGGGGGAGAAACTCACAGACTTCACAGGACTGGTGTGACCCACGAGCGGGCTTACTATCGTCTGCCCGGATTCTGCATCCCAGACTCGAATTGTGCCATCCCAGGATCCCGTCACGACGTGCTTGCTGTCAGGTGAAAAGGCGACACAGGCGACGATATCACCGTGGCCTGAGAGAGGTCCTGCCACGAGTTCTTGTGATTGCGCATCCCATATACGTATTGTATGATCCTGAGAGCCAGAGACCAGGCGCGTTCCATCTGGTGAAAATCCTACAGACCGTACAACACCTGTGTGGCCTTCCATGGGTTCTCCGAGCATTTTCCCCGTGCTCGTATCCCATAAGCAAATAGTCTTATCGGCGGAACCTGAGACTGCGCGTGGATCATCAGCCCGAGGGGAGAATGCGACAGAATTGACTGCGTCGGTATGGCCGCGGAATGGTTCTCCAATCGCCTTGCCATATGCTGTATCCCACATTCGGATGGTGTTGTCGGCGGAGGCTGAGATGATGTGCCTCCCATCCGAAGAGAATGCTACCGAATAAACGGGACCTGTATGACCCTCGAATGGCTTCCCAACAGCTTGCCCGGACTCGGCGTCCCACATGCGAACGGTATTGTCATCTGAGCCCGATACTATCCACTTCCCATCGTGTGAAAACTGGACAGATCTGGTCCCATATCGGTGACCTTGCATTGTGCATCGTAACGCCGGCCAATGAGCCAGTCGACCTTGCGAGACCCTCGCGCTCTTGGGGAAGGGCTCCATGTAATTTTGAGATACGAGCGAAGTCTCCGGAGTGAAGGGAAGAGCAGAGAGATAGATGTGGGGTGCCGAGATTGAGATCACGTCCCAGTATAAGCTGAGGAATCTATCGAGATCCTCGACCAAGCGAAGAACATCGCTCGCCTCATCTATACCCTAAAAGATACCGCCTCGTTAACACGTGAATATTGTTTGGAATAGGAATGCTCACCGTCAAGGCTCTCTTCAACGTCAGCAGCGCGGACAAACCCGACTGTAATGAGTTCAACAGGCTCAGCGACTCTAACCAGAACAACGCCCGAGTCTTGAAAAATCCTTCGATCTGAGTGAGCAATTTGGGAGATAGAGTAGCCCGGGGTTTAGGAACGATATGTTGCGCCCAATAACGGACCGCGTATTTGAGCCCAGGTGTCATGTGCTTCTGGGTACGCTGATCAAGGTCACTGTACTCGTCGTTGAGGTCGTATGAAGACTCAAGATGGCATATGTTGAAGCGAAGCGATGTCCGCATGATTCGTAGCGTCGAGCGGGCTAGCAGGTCATCCGCGCTGCTGAGATCCACGTAGTAAGGGCCGCTTCGAGCTTTATCAGTCAAAAAATCACGAAAGGAGCTGTGTAGTGGACGAATCGGATCGCCTGGGTTGGAAACGCCATATAACAAAGATCCCATGATATTCAAGACGTTGGTGGTACAGCCTCGTGGATCTTTCTCCTCTTGTAGCTCTTCCAATGCGTCCAGGGGTAACGGTACCTTGGCTGAGAGGACACGTCCCAACACGCGTTTGAAACGATCCAATGGTCCATCCCCGAACAGCCGACCTAAGACTAATTTGTAGAGGGTGTCCAGATGGCTGTAACGAACACCGGATTCCTGATCCTGCGACAAGGATCCAGAGGACAGGACGGCCAAGAAACGTTCGTGCCAGTCGTACCCCTTGTACTTGTCTTCCCCTCGGATGAATCCGCACGCCGTGAACGCCCACTGAAAAGATTTCTCGGCGGCCTGGACGATTTGCGGCACCATCGTATCTCGCTGCCACCGCGAGTCCTTTCCTATCTGAGACCACTCGGAAAGCCTTTTGTCAACGAGCAGAGAGATATCATCATCGGCGGTATCGTACTGATCCTCGGCGATATCCTGACGAACTACGCAGTTTAGTGCTGCTAGACTCTCTCGTATGTCCTGTTCGGGTCGCGAGGTAACTAGAATTCGGAAGTTACGGGGGAGCTCCGCTAGCCGTGAAATATATTTCAGCAATTCCGAACGTTCGCCGCCGCTCTCATCTAAAGCGTCGAGGATGATCACGATGGGCCCTACAATGCGGTCTGCTATGGCTTTTGCAGGACCTAGAAGGATGTTTTCGAACTGGAGCTGTAGTGAATGCGTGGAACGGAGGTCACTGTCGTTTTTGACCGCCTCGCATAGCACCTTCCTCCATTCTGAATCGAGATCGGCCAACCCGATGGCAAGCGTTGGGAACAGCTGTTCCAGCTTGCATCCGGAGGCACTGAAACAGAACATGCGCCCGAGCCGCCCGTCCTCCTTACATAGCTGTGCGACGGCATGAGCAATGGCGGATTTTCCAGCGCCTGCGGGACCGTACAACCAGAAGAGAGGTTGCGGGTTCGCTTCGTCAGGGGAGTAAATCCAAGCCATGATGAGATCGATAAGCGGCAGACGGGTCCCGGGTAGACATCCCTTTTCGGGTTGAAAGCCCGAGCCTGAAGCAACGGGGAGATCTCTCAAGATCATTTCCTGGTCTGCGCCACGTCAGCCGACGCATGCGAACAAGCATGAGAAAGTGGCTGACCCAAACGTCCTACGCTCTCCAGAACTCTCAGAACGACGATGTTCGTGTCCACCGTCGTATGACCGTTGAAATATTCTACGAGTTGTTTCAGACGGTTTTGGTAGCTCTCGATGTCGTCCGCAATATTTCGGCCAAGTCCCTTAAAGAATCGCTTCGCTAGCACATTGTGGCGAGCGGTCAGCACGATTCGGTCCTACGCCGGGTCATCGACTCACCAAACCCGTCCGTGTTAGCGTACTTGGAGATGAAGTGCGCGCATTCCCTGATCTGTCTTGCGATCAACTGCGCGGCTTTTTGGCGATGGCCACTTTGCCGGAGAGGCTCGGCTTCCTGCATCAGCTCTAGGGACAAGTTCATCGTCTCCACGAGACCGCGCATCGCCGCGTCCGTCTGGATTTGTTTTATGATAGTCTATTGCGGAGTGAGACAACGTGGCAGATATTCCCATCAGGAAGTATTTGCCTTCGGGACGGCAGCTATAACGCTGAACGCGAGGTTCGCGTATGGATGGATCTATTCGTCCGGAGTTAGTACAGTTGAAAATGATGTGCAAGGTATGACTTACCTGGGAGAGGCCGTTCGATATTTCCACAAAAATCCGCAATTTCTGCAGCAGGGGTGTCCAGCTGTCAAGTGTATCGTTGGCAGGCCCTGCTGCTCCTTCAAGAGTCTCGATGGCATTCGATAGAGTTTCTGCAGCCTGCCACGCCGGGCCCATGGCTTCGGCGTCCTCTGTGGCGTGTCCCGCTTCTTGAGCCACTGCACTTGATGAAGGATGTACTTTGAGCACGCACTCGGTCGATCATCCCTAGATGGACACTCACCCATCTTTTCCGAACAAGTCGCGGTCGTTTTCTACGTGCGTGACAGGTGAGTTCAGAAAATCTCGGTCATCTGCAAACATACCTGGAGAGGTTGGCTTTGAATCGTTTGGCTCGGCGATCGTAGTAGGCGCCGGAGGCACGGGAGGCAGCGAGTTCGACCGGGCAAGGGCGAAGGAAATCAACGCATTGGACCGTTGAGCGCGACGATCGTCCATCTGCAGGGGCCGGGATGCGACATCTGCACTATCGTCAACCGGTGGCCTTAGGGGGAAGATTGTCGTACT